CCCCTCCCCCTCCCCCTACCCCTCCCTCTTTCCCCTACCCCTACCCCTACCCCTACCCCTTCCATTCAGGACCAGGAGATCGTGTGAGCAGTGAGCTTGTATACATTCAGGGTCAGGGGATACTGTGAGCAGTGAGCCCAGAGTTCCATGCAGGCAAAACTTTTCCATAGCCTACCGTCTTCCTCTGGAGACTGCGTCCCCTCATTGTGACTTTACCGCACTGGAAAGATTGCTGGAGAAAGTTTGTGAAGGCGAAGTGCTGGACAACTGTTCCATAGCAGTTGGGGCAGTCCTATGGTGGCCAGAAGCCTCATAACCCGTGATGTGTCATTCATGCTGGTGAACATCAAGACAATCTAACTGCGCTCTCACATGGCATGAACGTATGTCCCAGAACAGCAAGGGATGAGATGCTCTCACAGGGAGATCCTGCCTTTTCTCCAATGCTATGGCACGGTCGACTTGGATCCATTGGGTCGGATCCATTGGGAGTGGGCAATAAGGGATCGATCTAATCGGACTGACTGATTTTGGGTTCGAGTTTGGGTTCTGTATCAGGCAGTGGCAAAGCAACAGAACCGCAAAACATAGTGAGGAGTGCGAACAATGACAAAGACGGGAATAATGAAGATTTGCTGAGGAAGGGATGTGCCAGTCTGAATTATCAGGAGATCGGCATCGCAAAGCTTCGTGGTGTCAAAGACTGGATGATGAGCAACATCATTCCTTCCATTGACAAGCCATCGCACACAAGAGACGGCGCATCAGAGGAAGAAGAAGTCGATGGTGAAATCTCTGGTGAACCCCATCTCTCACCGAAGATGGTCATTTTCGCCCACCATCTCGAAGTCCTCGACGAAATCCAGGTTGGTAGTTCTTCGTTATCATGGGATTCCCTTCTACCCCTGTGCCTTCATGGGATGTTCGCAGTGGGCAAACATTTCAATGGACGACTTGAAGGATATCACCATGTCCTTCCCCAAGGATGGGTCAGTGGGTTCAAACTTGAACAACAGGTTGATTAAGATCGCTGGAAAGTCTTGAGGGTTACTCCGGCCCAAAGTCTTCCGACTGGGTAGACAGGGATTGCCGGAATGCTTGGCCGCTCGACTCTGGTACAAATACTGCGTGAAGGATATCACCATATGCTTCACCAAGGATGTGTCAGTGGGTTTAAACCCGAACAACAGGTGATTAAGATCTCTGGAAAGTCTCGAGGATTAATGTGGCCCAAAGTCTTCCGACTGGGTAGAAAAGGGATTGCCGGCATGTCTGGCCACTCGAATCTGGTACAAATACAGCTTCAGCTTGATAATCCAGTAGAAAGAGGCCTAGAGGGCCGGATTGAATAACCGCCGCCAGATGTTAACATTGGGAGGCCAGAAATTCTGGCATTCCCTTTCTACGCTGCTGGAAGACTTTGGGCTGGATTAATCCTTAAGGGGTCCTGATCTACCTGCTGTATCATCAAACCCCTCTGTCATAAAGCTTTTGACGGTCTGCTTCACAAAGGATGGGTCAGGGGGCTCAAGTTCAACCCCCTCTGTCATAAAAAAATAAATGGATGTTTTGAAGGATGCGACCATAAAAATTTCAATGGATGTTCCGAAGGATACGACCATCTGCTTCACAAAGGTTGGGTCAGAGGAGCTCAAACTTCAAACCCTTTTTTAAAACACCACTACCTCCAAGCCTCGTTTCGCCGAGGGGAAAAAGAACTGCATGCCCAAGCGCCAGCGAGCCTTTTTTTCCCTTCTTTTTGGCTGGCGCTGCCAGCCATTTGGGTCTGGTAGCACTATCCACCTGTGGAATGATTCGTTTTGCTGTTTCCCGTCTGCCTTTGAACGGTAGTGGTGGTTTAATTTGAACCATTTCTTGATTTCTGCATGTCATCCTTGTGCAGGGGCCATGCTACTCTTGTCGTTATTGTTCCAATTTTAATGGATGTCCCGAAGGACAGACAGGTTCAGGCTTAAAAACCCACTCTCCTTAAAAGATTTAGGGATGTCTCGAAGGATATCACCATGGCTCACAAAGGACGGGTCGGAAGGGTTCAACATTCAAACCCTTCTTTCATAAATAATTCCGCAGGTATCTTAAAAGATGGATCAGAGGGGTTTTATGACGACGAAAGTGAAAGAATACTGCAGCCTGCTGTGCGATTCTCTGTTCTGCTGTGGCCCGTCTCAACTGTCTTTCTTTGTGTGTGCCGTACGTCAGGGAGTAATTTGCCTCTTCTCCTTCCTCTTTGTCTATGTCTTTCTGTGGGAGTGTTCTCGAAACTTCTCTGAGCTCATGCATTGAAACCTCATATGTACCAAAGCCATTCTTGGCCATCGTCTCGGCATTTCCACCCTCACATCCTGACTCCACTTACCAAGTTTGGTTTGTCTGACCAAAAGTGGGATCTTGGTGGTAACGAACAACAAAGCGCGTGTCGCTGAACAGAAACACAAATGTGACGGATATTAACAGATCATGAGTTTGAATCCTGCTGGAACCAGATGAATAGTACAAATAAATGTCAAATATGTTGTTGTTTTTTTTTTTTTTTTTTTTTGATCTCCTCAAAGACCCGTTCTATTCTGGAGCGCAGCAGTCCGGTTGCTCATCACCGGCAAGCAGAATTCAAGTTCCAGTGACAGAAAAGAAGAGGGTTTCAGCCTAACATACCCCGCCGCCCGAGACGCTCTGCAGGGGGGGGTTCATTTGAAGTGTCTGCCAGGCCTCTCCCAGGGCCCACATAATGGCCAGGAGACAGATCCTTTGTTTTCGCTTTTTTTTTCTTGTGGTCCGATGGACCACAGATCAGATATTAAACTGATTAGAACAGATCTATGCACCCAGAATAGTATAATATGTTTCGCTCCTCTAATTCTCATTTCATCTTCCACTTTGGTTTGCCTGACTGTGAAAGCTGGCTAGTGACATCAGACTCATGTGGCTAAATAGTGCATGCACACATGTAACTGATAGTAAACAGATCATGGGTATGAATCATACTTGTGGCGCATCGACGTCCGCGCACAAGCGCCACACTGCGCACAGCGCACGACGCGCGCGCATGGGGTGCACGGGGTGCGGCGCACCCCGAAAATAAGGGGTCGAGAAAAAAAAAAAAGGTTGGGCAGGGGTGTTTTAGACCCGAGTGGGATGTCGCGTCTTAAACCACAAACAAATATTAACAAAAATTTGAGGCTGCGTGGGGCCTCTAAAAGAAAAAGGGGGAAGTTCGTCTTTTTGTTTGTGTGTGTGTGTGTGTGTGTGTGTGTGTGTGTGTGTGTGTGTGTGTGTGTGTGTTGTTTGT